AACTCTACTAGTGCAGGCTAGGAGTTTCCAGGACTCCTCTGTTGGGAATTGGCTGTTGCCCTTCATAGAATCTTTTTAATTTTTTTAAAAAGATTTTATTTATTTATGAGACACACACACAGAGAAATGTAGAAACGTAGGCAGAGGGAGAAGCAGGTTCCATGCAGGGAGCCTGATGCGGGGCTTGATCCTGGGACCCCAGGATCATACCCTGGGCCGAAGGCAGGCGCTAAACTGCTGAGCCACCCAGGTGTCCCAGAATCTTTTTTAATTTTGATGAAATCCCAGTCATCTAACTTTTCCTATTTTTGACATATTTTCATAAATGGATGTCAGGGACTCTGACAGTAGTCTGACAGTTAATAAAAAGCTAAATAAATTTGTTAATTAAAAAGTGCTCTTTCAGAAATGTTTCTGAGTATCTGAAGTTAAACTCAGCCTGCTCCTGCCCATTGTGGTGATTACCTACCAAATGTTTCATCTGCAAATCCACTGCCACCTCCCATCTCACCCCAGATAGGACAAGGGTATATTCTGGAGAAGACTCAGCACTGCAGGAGGCTTTATTATTTGTAGTTCTGAATGGGAGGTTAGCTGAATGAGGATTCTAGGGCCCAGAGCCCCATAAGAACCTGCAGCCAAGGTGGTAAGAGTTCTGGGAGCCACCTCCTTCCTTTCTAGATAAGCCCAGTCTGGGCAACCAGCATCTCCTCTCTACAGACTTTCCCTGAAGCCCAAAGCTCTTTCCAGGGCAGCCCTATGACCAACCCTCCTTCCTGAGCCTTCCCCCTAAACCTTACCCAAGATGGTGCCTCTTCTAGAAAAAAAAGGCTGCAGATGGTAAAAGGTTACAGTCAACCTCAGATCCCTGATAAGGACAGTTGCTGGGTCTGGATTTACTTTGCACTGGGAACAGCCAGAGATCACTACACACATCCTTTCTATTCCTGTCCAAGGGAGCCAGAGTAGCTGCAGCCTCTCCCACTCATCAAAATTCGTGGGAAGGTGCTTCCTTTTCTCATATTCTTCTAGGACCATCACCCAAGGCAGCCCATACCTTCCAACCCCAGGTATTTCAGCACAGAAGGCCTGTTCACTCTGGTCAAATGCTTCAAAACAATGCAAAGATCATTCCATTATTCAAAATCTGTTTTGGGCTAGTTCACAAAGTAGTGCAGGAAGCTAAAACAAAGTCAGGAGTTTATAGCCTGAAATTACAGTTTTACAGCCTAGAAAGCAATCTGAAGTATATTATCTTATTTTTTTAAGTTTTTTTATTGATTGATTCATGAGAGGCAGAGACACAGGCAGAGGGAGAGACAGGCTCCCCACGGGGAGCCTGATCTGGGATCACACCCTGAGCCAGAGGCAGACGCTCAACCACTGAGCCACCCAAGCTTCCCTGTATTATCTTATTTGATTTGCTCCTTCCAACAGCCCCATGAGATAGATGCAATGAATATTATAATCCTCAAATGAGACACGGCATTAAAGTGTTTGTGAACTGGAAGGCCTTTCATATACAGGAATGCTTGCTTCGCCCAGGAAGAAATGAGAGAAGGTAAGTGACCTGCCCAAGGTCTTGGAGTTAAGAGGATTGCCAGGGCTCAAACCAGGACTTCTTGGCTTAAATATAGTGCTTCCCTATCTGTGCTGGCCCACAGGACTAAGTGACTCTGCACAGAGGACACCTGTACAATGGATACAGATACCTAACCCACCTGGCAGCTTAGAAATATTTGCCATCGGAGACAAGGCAGTGGATGTAGATGGTCTAGCAAAACTCATCACCATTTCCGTAGAAATAACTCAGTGTCCTTACCTCTGCTTGCAACATCAAATACACTTTCAGAAACTCTCAAGAAGAGCATGTGTTCACAGGTAATAAGCTGTCTATGAACAAAACGGCCGGGCACTGGAGCAGCTGTGCCAGCCCGAGTGTCAGGGACAACTAACCAATACAGAAAGATCCACATTCGTCACAAATGCTTCTCATTCCTATGAAACCAGGTGTCAGTCCCAAGAGGGGGTTAAAGGTGCTTCTGAAGAAATATTCCAGAGGCTTCTTTACTTTGGGCCACACTTCTCTACATTCATGGCTCCTCCCTAAGAAATACACACCACCTCGGAGGCCTTCTCTGACCTTGTTCTGACTACTCAGGCAATCAACCAGGAATGCTGAAACACCCTGAAATGGAAGAACTGACACTTGCTGACATGTTTGCTCCTCCCAGAACTCACTTGTCACAGACAGATGGAACATGCACCCCAGGCACGCCACTGAGCAAAGAAGATGCAGGCCCTGCCTTCCTGGGGCTTACCACCCACTGTCACTGTCACACAGCCTTCAGGAATCCTACCCTTCCCTCACTCCCCAGTCAGACTACACACTCTTCGTGAGCGAGAGCCATGTACTTTAATTTTCTAAAACACTCATCTTACACTAGACTCTCTACACAGCAAACTGATGAGCTGTAAGAGAATCTCTGACTCTACAATCCGGAGCACTTCTTCACTCAATCTCTCCAGTGCCATGTAAAATTATAATTTAAGGGATCCCTGGGTGGCGCAGCGGTTTGGTGCCTGCCTTTGGCCCAGGGCGCGATCCTGGAGACCTGGGATCGAATCCCACGTCGGGCTCCCGGTGCATGGAGCCTGCTTCTCCCTCTGCCTGTGTCTCTGCCTTTCTCTCTCTCTCTCTGTGACTATCATAAATAAATAAAAAAATTTAAAAAAAAATTATAATTTAAAATCCACAGTCTTGAACCTGAGATGTCAAAAGGTGCAGGAGAATGAGCCTGCAGCCTAAGGGGTAATATATCTAGAAGAGACCTGAGCCTCTGATGGGGAAGAGAGCTGGGGTAGGGGCAGGGGTGATGAACGCTCTCAATCTGCAAAGCTCCATCAGCCCACAGGAGAAACAGGTGCTTTACTATAGGAATTATGGTGCTAGTCCCAAGACTGTTAAAAAGACAAGTGCAGGGATGCCTGGGTGGCTCAGCGGTTGAGCGTCTGCCTTTGGCTCAGGGCATGATCCCAGGATCTGAGGATCGAGTCCCACATCTGCTTTTCCCTCTGCCTGTGTGTCTGCCTCTCTCTCTGTCTCTCTCATGAATAAATAAAACCTTTAAAAAAAAAAAAAAAAAACAAGTGCAAAGGGACTACCGAACAGCATCTTATCCTACTGTCAAAAGGAGACACGAAAACCACATTCCACAGGACCAATATACAAACCCAGTTAGCCAGCATGGGGTTAGCAAAGAACCTGGGTCAGAAGACCCATAACTAGGCTCAAATTCTGCCACTAGTCCAGCCAGATGCCACTGGGCAAGCTAGGTGCCCTCCCTGAGCCTCAAGGACCCCCTCTGGACCACGGGAACAGTAACCTCCACTTTGCCTCACAGAAATGCTGTGAGGCTCAGAAGAGACCTGTTCTATGAAAGCACTTGCGGAGATGCCCCACACCATAAATCCCAAGCAGTCTAGGAGGATATACAAACTCCAGAGGAGCATCTCCCATCAGCCCCGGAACCCTCATGGTTTCCTTCTTGCGCCCCCAAACCTGGGTTTTCATCTGTTCACATCCCTGATTTCAGAGAAATCACTCATCATCCACACCTCACAAAAGGCAGGTACACAAATTTCCAAATTCCAGTGTGACAAAAAGAGAAGGTAGCTATGTAACCATGTTACCTCCCTGCCTTGATGCACCTTGGGCCTCCCTTTACAAGACATGAACTACAGGGAAACCAATGACAAGGGGAAGGGACACACACTTTATGTCCTTTGTGGCTATCTTCTCCCCACTGCCAAGTCAGGTTCCCGGTGGGAGACTGCCAAACTGATCTAACAGGGACTCAGAGACAATACGGAGATAAGCGTTTGGGAGGGATTATACTTAGGCCACATTCCATAGCCTGAAAGAAATTACTACTAGCATGTATAATCAAAGGTTAACTGGCATAGAGACACCACCGCTCCTTGCTCTTCCCTGCCCCTCCAGCAACCTGTCTCCAAGCCAGGGTTTTCATTTGCTTGCTCAGTCCTCTAACCACCCATCCATCCAGTTAGGATGTGTGTAGCACCCTCCAAACAACCCTCTCTCAAGATTCTTGAGAAAGGGTTGGAGTGGGGGTGGGAAGGCAGGTGCATCACAAAGTTGTAAACTGTGGTGGTACCAGTGATGCAGAGGCTGGGGGGGAGGGGTGGGGTGGATCCTGGGCTCACACTCCAAGAACCAGCACCTCTGCCCATCAGGCCTGAGCCCAGCACAACCCGTTCTGGCTCTAGGCAGAGGGATGGCCCATCTTGCAGAGTCAAGCTTATTAAAAATGGCTTGGAAGATTAAACCTTAGAGCATCCACTGGTTGGCGGGTCTCAAGTTAAAACCCTAAGCTCGGAGAGGGAGAAATTCTAAGGCGACCGTGCATTTGGGGGCCATTATCAATAACTCACTGGCAAAAAGCCAGATCTGGATGGGTGCAAAGGGTGCTTCCGTCCCATCCGTCAAGCCAAGAACATCCTCTTCATTCTAGAAATGGAATCCACCCTATCACGAAACCCCACCATGTAGCAAAGCAGCCGGTGGAGGCCCACACCCCTGCCAGGCCCCTTCCCCCAGCAGCTCAACACCTAAGGCCAGTCCCAATCCACCCTGGGGACACACGTGATCAAGCGTGTGTGCCTCCCGCCCCCTACACTGGTAAGTCACGGCCCCAAATTCAGCCTGCAGTAGGGCAAAAGTCAAAGACTGAGGGAAGCACTTCCCCCCTTTCTCCTCTCCTGGCTTTGCTGTTGATGGCTGGTATTTAAAAAACACTGAATCAGGACACGGACACACGGAGGGAACGTAAACACACATGCTGGGACAGTCCCCGGAGGCCCGGAGGCCCGCGCTCCCAGCCGGACCCTTCCTCTGCGGCCTTTTACCGAAATGCAGCACCCTCCCTCCCCGCCTTTGGGTAAGAGAGTGTCAGAAAGCACGTCGTGAGTACACCTACCTGTCTATGCTCTGGGGCAACCTCACACTCATGGTTTCTCAGGGTCTCAGCAGAGCCAGGATCCTGCAGTTCTGACGTCCTGATCCGGGCTGAGTGGGCTGCAATGTTTAAGAACCGTGGGAGGAGGGCCTCCCCACCTCCGGGCCAGATGCTCGGTGCTCCCGGCCGGCTCTCAGGACCCTGGGAACCGAGGCTCCATCCTACTGGTGCCAGCGAGCATGCTGTCCTTTCTCAGCCCCCGGCCCCTCCCCCGTCGGAGAAAAAAACCGAAAGAAAAAAAAAAAAAAGAGGAAAAGCTATGACCTTCTTAGAAACCCAAAACCCAACCGCAAATCTCTTCAAGGTTAGCGCTCCGGGCTAAGGCATGAATCACCGAGGAGCGCGCCCTGCACCCGGCGGTCTTCAGGGCGGCCCACCGCCGCAGCCCATGCTCGGGGTCCCGGCCCGCGGGGCTGCTCCGGCAGGCGGGCCCCGGCCCCGCGCTGGGCAGCTCGGCGCCCGCCTCGCCAGGGCCGCGGAGGGCCGCTCCGAACCGGCGCGGGCGGGCGGGGGGGGGGGGGCAGGGAGGCCGGCGGATAACCGAGAGGAGGCACCGGCTCGCGCCGCGCCGCCACAGCCTTGCAAGTCCGGGCCGGGCCTGCGGCCTCGACAACCACCACCACCGCAGCGCTCACCGCGGAGCCCCCGCCTCACGCCCGCCGGGCCCCCGGCCTCCCCGTGCCCCGCGCCCCGGCCGCCATCAACCGCGGGCTCCGCTCTGCCCCGCGCCGCCCGCCTTCCCGCCCGCGCGGGGCCCGGCTCCGGCTCCCCTCCGCCCCGCGCGGCCCGCTCGCCCGCCGCCCTCGGCTCCGGCCCGGCGCGCGCGGAAGGCGGCTCGGCGGCTCCTTCCGGGCCCTTCCCCCTCGGCGCACCGCTCCTCCGGGCGCAGGCCCGGCCGGCCGCCCGTGCCCGCGCCGCCCCCTCCGGCCCCGCTCCGGCGGCGCGGCCCGCAGGCCTCTCCCCCGGGCCCGCCCCCCGCCGGCCCTCCTCTCCTCCCCTCCCCTCCCCTCCCCCTCCCCCTCCCCCTCCCCCGCGCCACTCCGGACCCTCCCCCCTTCCTGGGGCCCTCCCCCTCCCCTCCCCCTCCTGGGCGCTCCCCCTCCCTCTCGGCCCTCCCCCGGCCCTTCCCCCATCCGGGGCCTCCCCTCCCCTCCCCTCCCCTCCTCCGGGCCCCTCCCCTCCCCTCCCCTCCCCTCCCCTCGCCCTCCCCCCGCGGCCCCCAGCCCCTAGCGCGCCTGCCTCCCTCCGCGAGGCCTAGCCGGCCCCGGGCGCGGCGGGATCCCCGGCTTTTCCCGGCCCGGCCCGCCGGCCGCCCCGGCCCCGGCCCCGGCCCCGGCTCGCCCCGGCAGCGTGCGCCGCCCCCGCCGCCCCCCCTCCCCGGCCCGGGGCCGCCCCCCCTTTGTCTGTGTCCCTGCCCCCTGCCCGCCGGCCGGCCCCCTCCCCGCGGGCGCGCCTCTCTCCCGCGGCTCACTCCCTCCCCACCCCTGCGCTCACCTTCTCCTCCAGAAACCCGTGCGGCCTCCTTCCTGGGTGCCGGGAGCCCTTGGAACTGGTCGGCTCCCCGTGTTCTCCCCACGTCCGACAGCACCGCCTGGGGGGCTCACACCCCGGGCTCTGACCCTCCGCCGCTGCGCGGGGCACCTGGGTACCCGCCCGGGAGCGTTTCCCAACTCAATGAAGAGCCTCTCGAGGCCGATTCTGGTTTCATAAGCCCCTCTCATAGAATCACGGTTCCTAAATCTTTCCAAGGAACATGACATTAGTCAGAAGGTCCCTGCCGTTGTAGTTAAAAACAAGATAAAAAGGAAACTTTTTTATTAGGACGGGGGAATGAGCTCTGTCTTCTTGCCTAGGTAGAGGCGATGGTAAAATGCTCTGCAGGCGGTGCTGTGTTTGCTGTGCTCTCTCCCTCCCACACCACCTTGACTGTTCCTGGGGGAAGTGTATGTACAAGTACTCTGTCCTGACCCGCACATGACCGCGAGCCGCGTGGGGAGAGCTCAGTGACCCCAAATATGTTACCAGGGCCGGGTTTGCAAATTGCAAGAGGAAAAAGAACCTAATAAGCATTGGTTGACCATTGGAATAACCCAGGAGATTCCCCTAAATTATACCAGGTACAAGTTGACAAATAAAAGAAAGACCCACCGCCTTCTCCCCATCCCCACCACCTCCTAGATCAGAACTTGCAAAGACAGGTGAGGTGGTCCGCTGGCATCTGAAGCACCACGGTCCAAATTGCCATTGTCCTATTGTTTATTCTGTTCCCATATGACTCGCAGAGATGATTCTCCCAAGTGTGGACCCTCCCCTCTGTGCTGATAGATCAACCAGTGATCAACAAACATTGATTGTGCTTTCTTAATACATGGAATATTTCTCTTTTTTAAAGATTGATTGATTTATTTATTTATTTATTTATTTATTTATTTATTTATTTATTTATTCATGAGAGACAGAGAGAGAGAGAGAGAGAGAGGCAGAGATACAGGCAGAGGGAGAAGCAGGCTCCTTGCAGGGATCCCGATGTGGGACTCGATCCTTGGACTCCAGGATCACGCCCTGAGCCGAAGACAGATGCTCAATCGCTGAGCCACCCAGGCGTCCCACATGGAATATTTCAAAATAATTTTGTGCATGTGTTTTATTACATACCTTATGAAACATTCCCTAGAGTAGGAATATTAAAAGATCAAAATAAAGATGAAGTACATTTTTTTAAAGTAGGGTCCACTTGCAGCATGGAGCCCAATGTAGGGCCTGAGCCCCCAATCCGAAATCAAGACCTGAGCTGAGATCGAATCTGGAGCTCAACCAACTGAGTCACCCAGACGTCCCAAGAGGAAGTACATTTTTAAATTCATACTTAAATTTAAATTCATACTTAGTTAATCTTATTGGCTGTCATAACTAGAAGAGATACTCTTCAAAGAGATAGATTAAAATGGAAGAAATGCATCCTTGATTGTATTTATTAAATCATGCATTCATTTTCCCATCCATTCACCACAAAGCAAAGGTTTTCATTGAAATTCAACTAGTAAATTCACATTTTAAGTCAATTAGTCCTTGAATGATAGGAAGGTGTTGGATTTTATAATTTTAACAAGTGGGACCAAACTCTCTAAGAAGTTTCATTTAAAACAGATTTTTAGGGAATCAGCGGTTTAGCACCTGCCTTCAGCCCAGGGCGTGATCCCGGGGTCCCAGTATCAAGTCCCACATCGGGCTCCCCTGCCTGGGGTCTGCTGCTCCCTCTGCCTGTCTGCCCCCCTCCCCCGCCCCGTGTCTCTCATGAATAAACAAATAAAATCTTTAAAAATTTTTCGAATTCGATTTCTTAGTTTTTCAAATGTACACATAAAAGTGTTACAGCTAATGGGAGGGACACCTGCCTGACCGTGCAGCTCATGATCTCAGGGTTGTGAGTTAGAACCCCACGTTGGGCATAGAGTTTACTTAATAAAAAAATATTTTTAAAAAGCTTTTACAGGTGACACACATTTTTTTTGATAAATAAATTTTTAAAATCACGATATTGGGAACATTGGTAGTCATACATTTTCTAACCATTTTCTCTATATGTGTGACTTTCTTTAGAAAAGCCATGACTCTCACTCATTAAAAGACCATCATGTTCACTTTGAAGGAATAGATTAAGTGGATTGTTGTTTGTTTTTGAAATCAGTGCTACTAACCTCTTGCCAGCTAATCCTCAACACAGGATGTTGTAAAGTAAAAAGTGTATCTCCTCTGTGTTCAATATCTCTTGTTGGGCCTCCCCCTGGAGATAACCAGACAATCTGCAGAACAAGGATTTTCATGGTCATTCTCCCTTTCTTTACCAAGAAATGTCAAAACAATAAAAATAAAAAAAAAAGAAATGTCAAATTTGTAGCAATTAACAGGCTTGTTTTTATCTGGTGACTGGCATTACATTGTAAAGAAAATGAATGTCTGAACTGTATGTGGCATTACCCCTCGTTCCTGAAAACATCTCACTCACTGCACTAAACGTGACAGATGATTTCTGAAGCACTGGCCCAGAGAGAGTGCTAGGTCGGCTGGTAGGTTAAAGATGGGTATTGGTAAAGCTTAAACAATTATTTTTGCTCTAGTTAAATACTTCTGTGCATGCATACTTAAATATTTTTCTTGTGCACATCTGAGCACCTCTTTGTACACTCTACTCCACTTTGAAGTCTATGGAGAAGGGGGATGGCTTTAGCGGGATAGAGTTGCCTGCAGTCAACTGGCCACTTAAGCAAATTGCAAGTCTCGGTTTAGAAATAAGACATAGAATATTAAATTGGGGCCAAGACAGACTATGTGGCAGGAATCTGGAAGCAGCGGTTGGTTAATGGAAAGAGCACTAGAGTAGGAGTCTAAAGAAGTGAGTTTTCGGGGCATGTATCCCTTTTTAGCTCTGGACCTACTGTTTGCTGGTTATAAGGATTGAATAAGATCAAGCATGGGCTCTGTACCCTATAGAGTTCTGGACAGAAAAAATCAGGATAAACATTAAGAAATGATGTCCTGAATTGACATAGTCCTCTAAACTTTTTTTCCCACAGAACTCTGTTAATAAATGAATCCTTGCCTGTGCCCCACATCCTGTGGGATAGGCAGGATATTAGTTGTTATGTTACATTCATTCATTTATGCTTAAGGAAACTATGGCAGAGACAGGTTTTAGGTGATTTGCATGAAATTTCATTAATTGGTAGATTGAAGCTAGAATTCATACCTCTTCATTTTTAGCTGTGAGAAGCAAAAGAAAACCACAGGTTTGGGCAGCTTTTATCTGGTGGGAAAGATTCTAGAAACAATATTTAACTGAATAGCTGAGGGAGAGCCGTGATACAGAACCCTGTGTGGTTTGGAGCATAAGTTCTAGAGAATCATCTTCAAGGGCAGGTATCCTCAGTCCAAAACAGGTGTGTCCTCAAGAGTGATGGCTCCAGGTTGCAGCCATTCCTCTGGCATGCTGTTAGAAGACAGGCCTAGCAAGACAACAACACCATGGAAGGCAGAGTGATGACCTTTTTTTTTTTTTTAAGATTTCATTTATTTATTCATGAGAGACACACAGAGAGAGGCAGAGACATAGGCAGAGGGAGAAGCAGGCTCTCTGAGGAGAGCCCGATACAGGACTCGATCCCAGGACCCAGGGATCACGACCCGAGCTGAAGGCAGACGCTCAACCATTGAGCCACCCAGGCATCCCGAGTACCACCGTTTATTTTAGACCTTTTATCCCTCTTCAACCTTTGTCTACTGGAAAGATGATGTGCAAAGGCTTGCTTGGCTAAAGTATTGCTAGCCCTAAGACTGAGACTTATTTTTCAGCCGATCTAGATTCCTCTAGAGTGCTTCTGGGTGGCCAGAATAACCAATATTAAACCCGTGTGACAGAGAGCATTTAACTGTCACTCAATATTCTGTTCCTTCGACCTGATGTGCTCCCAATAACATTTTATTATAAAGTAACAATAATACCCAAACCATGTATAGTGCTTACTATAAACATCATTCTACACAAACTGCAAATCCTCTTGAGCAACCTTTTGAGGCAGTAATTATTACTCCCATTTTCAGATGGGACATGAAGCCCAGAGAGGTACAATAGCTGGCTTAGGGTTGCAGAGCTGGAACCCAGGCGGTACAGCTCCAGAGTCTGTGCTTCTCTGTCACCCGTACTGCCTTGATGTCCTAGGCATGGTGCCAGCTCTGCAGGAAAAGATAAAACCAAAGGCAGAAACGCAGAGGCAGAAGCTTCTCAGAAAGATGGAAGAGGACAGCTTCAGTGAAGAGACTGGCGTGGGTGTTGCTGGACGAGGAGGCCCGCCCCGCACGGTCCCCTTGCCCACCGGGCAGTGACCAGCAGATCTTGCCTTCGGGCTCTCAGTTCTGTTGGCCCTTGAGACGTGACACCCAGAAACTTGCCCACTTGTCACTTCTGAAGATTTCAAGGCCTTGAGTGAAGAAGGGGCTTCTCACCTTAACTCCCAGGGAGGTAGGTCAGTGTTGCCTGGGGGGTCACCTCCCGGTTGTGCACTCCAACCTGCAAGCTTGGTACCTTGCTGTCTGTGGTTACTTAGAGACCAACTCGCTCCCACTGACACCCCTGGTAACTGAGACGAACTGAATAACAGGGAAGGTGCCAAGATATGTTATAAGGGAAAATGTGTGAAAGAAAACCAGTTTTAGATTGAAGGCTAATATTTTGGGAAGTTGGGTGTGTTTGTGTGTGTGTGTTTTTTTTCTCTGTATAAAAAAAAGTTCCCAGGATCAAAGATGAGCTACAAAAAAGGTGAGATTCCTGTGGGGAAGGTAATTTTTATTTTATTTATTATTTATTATATTTTTAGTTAGTTTTTAAAGATTTATTTATTCATGAGAGACAGAGAAAGAGAGGCAGAGACACAAATAGAGGGAGAAGCAGGCTTCATGCAGGGAGCCCCATGGAGGACTCAATCGTGGGACCCCGGGGTCATGCCCTGAGCCAAAGGCAGACGCTCAACCGCTGGGCTACCCAGGCATCCCAGGAAGGTAATTTTAAAAAACTGCCCAGGGGATCCCTGGGTGGCTCAGCGGTTTGGCGCCTGCCTTTGGCCCAGGGTGCAATCCTGGAGTCCCGGGATTGAGTCCCACGTCAGGCTCCTGGCATGGAGCCTGCTTCTCCCTCTGCCTGTGTCTCTGCCTCTCTCTCTCTCTATGTCTATTGTGAATAAATAAATAAAATCTTAAAAAATAATAAAAATAAAAATAAATAATAAATAAAAAGCTGCCCAAAGCTTGCTTTAAAAACCAAAAAATGTTCTTAAATTT